TCACCTTTGAATGCAAGACTCATAAACAGCTTTTTCTTTGGTACTGTGACTTGTCTCGGGGCGGATTCTTTCTTGATGTTACGTTCAATGAACCTTGTGGGATAACCATTGTTAAGGAGATTTGATCGAAGGTTATCTAGTTCCCTATCGATTGTCTCTGCAGAGCAGATTTTACGAATTCTGGAGCATAAGGAATGAATAAGATTTCTCTTTCTCCCTAAAGGTACCCAACTGTTGAAGTTAGTGTACTGCCCAGTGAATGTTGGCTTTCGGTAAATCGACCTTAGAAGCGTTCCATTCTCTCTTCTATCTAGCTTAACATCAAGTAAGTGAAACGAAGAATCCGACTCTTCTTCGATCGTGAAAAGCAAAGATGGGTGAGAACCATTAAATATTCTAAGAAGTTCGGCAGTTGAAGTGTTTTCATCACATACAATGAAGGTATCATCAACATATCTTTTATACATAAACAGACTATCGATGGTTTCCTTTAGTGGGCCATTCTCTAAGCTTGCCATGAAAACGTCCGCTAAGAGCGGTCCTAAAGGAGACCCCATGGCGACTCCATCCTTTGGTTGTAGATGACATCATTAAATCTAAATTGCACATTCAGTGTGCATCTCAATAGTAGTTGTTTAAGATAATCAGTTGGTAAGCCAATGTTCATGCTATTTGAATCAATATACTCGCATAGATAGCAGATAGTGTCTACTAGTGGTACATTTGTGAACAATGAACAAATATCTAACGAAATCATATGCTTACCAGTCACATTAATTTCATCAACACAACTGACGAAGTCAAAAGTGTCGGAAAGACTATGTTTACATAGATTTAATCTAACTGGTTCCAGAATTTCCGCAAGCCATTTAGCGGTAGAGTGATACGGTGAATTCAGCATATCCAATACAGGTCGCAGAGGGACATCATCTTTGTGCACCTTTGGAAGACCATATAAACGAGGGATAGTTGAACCAGATGGTTTAAGCTGTTCATACATATATGGAGTAATGATGCATTCTTGCTTCAATTTCGTCAAAGTTTTAGATAATTCCTTCTCAATATTATCTGTCTTGTCCTTTTGATCGGGTGATTTTAGAAATTTTCTTCATCACTCAGGATGGTACATAATTTATTGACATAATCATCACGATTAAGAATAACAATACCTGATCCCTTGTCTGGACGAATCAGTATTATGTTTTTGTTGTTAAGCAATTCATTTAGTTGTCTTTTGTGTTCTTTTGATAACATTTGTCGTTGTCTGCCTTGCGTTCTTTGGTACTGGTAATAACAATGAAGTAATGAAGATTTGAATTGTTCAACGTCTTCGCTAGACATTGGACTCAAGTCATGTGTTTGATTCATGAGATTTTCAAACTGAACTTTTGTGTCTAATTCGTTGACTCTGGACGAAACAGTAGAGAACTTCAGACCCAGAGATAGGATCAAATATAATGGTGAAATTAGTAACGATAACATGAAAAAGAGAGAATATAAGGCATCTACAGTTGTTTTACCATATAATGAGGCAGGGGACATCTGACGCTTTACATAGGATTCTTATCAAAGTGGCAATTAAGGGTAGTGGTGGCATTTAAAGCTACAGACTCACTCACGAGTAGGACAAGCTCAGTAGGTCGGTTAAAGAACCATGTAGGTTGACACAGCCTCCAAAGCCTCAGGATGGTCGGGGGTGGGTGCCTTGCGCTGCGGGTTGGCCACCCCTCCGTACACCTCTTGAATTGCTCCCATATGACCGGGCGTCTTACATAGCCTCTCCTGAGGAAGTCCTCAGTCCTCACTGCCTTCACGTGGCGGAGGTGTTTTTCACCACCGAAGTGAGAGGGCAAAAGCGGATTCCCGGTGCTCTTCACCATGTTGACTGTCCATTGGATGACAGTCTAGGGGAGATGGCTAAACCCTGCCTGATTCCAAACCTCCAATGACTGGCGTATGAAGCTCATCGGTAGGCAGACGTATGGACACAGGGCTTATTGGATGCCCTGGTGCATGTCTGGCCCCATTCAAAAAGGCGTATGAACCGGACTCCGGTCACCGGCTGGCTGACAATGGATAGTCGACTCCCTACTCCACTCCTACTGCCTTGTAGGAGGTCACACTTGGTTGGTTGTGTAAAGGCTAGATCTGCACTCTCGAACAGAAGACCGATCGATTCTGGGGACATCACTCGTACCTAATTCCCATGAAACTTCATCAACTCTCGTTGCTACAACATCAACCAAATTCCAGTACTGGTCGAACAACGTCGCCTTCGGTGGTTTGGCCATGTTCTGGGCCGGGCCGACCAGATGACGATCTGGTCAAATCAGTTCGAAATCCCTCCTCGCCATTTCCATCTTGGCGATGTTGCAGGGAGGGGAGAACAGCTGAAAACACATGGCTCGGTACAGTCAGTCAAGGCTGATATGGAGTGACTGGGCTGGGGCTACAAACCGTCCACGGACTCCGTCTATTGAAGAAGAATTGGATAACCCTGTCATGGAAAAACCTTGCATCAGATCGCCGCGCCTGGGCAGCCGGCTCATCCTCCCGTAGGAGATGGCGGAAGTAAAATAAGTAAGTAAGTAGGTTGACACAATTAGACAAAATAATATAATTTAGAAAATACCTTGCAATGACTGTGAGTTACATTAACCACCTACATAGGTGGTGAGTCAAACTAGTAGATCAAGCAGGAGTATTGAGATTGCCTGTCAGAACATAAGCATTTAGCTGTGGTTAGAATGACTGACCCCGTGAAGATGAATCATTTAGAAAAAATAACTCAGCATTGCATTGCACTGCATGGAACTAACACACAACCAGACACAGTGGTGTGGGTGAGACAGAGTCACAATTCCAAGAAGTAATAAAGTCTGATAGAGGTAGAGAGAGAGAGAGAGGTTGATTACCTTTTTGGATCCTGCCTGGTTCATTGAGTCTACACACTGAACCTAACACAACACAACACATGCAATAGAAGTTATTCATTTTGACTCTGTCCCACCCACCCCATTGTGTTTAGTTGTGTGTTAATGCATGCAGTGCTGAGTTACTTTGCCTGAATTACTCATCTTCACGGGTATAAGAATAAAACTTGTGCACTGTGGTAGAATGTTATTCCATTATGCCTTAATTTTGTTTTGATAAAGTCTCACAGCGCTGTTATACAGTAATGTTTACTGATGACCATGTTTTGAGCACAATTTATTACCACTCATAATCATATCAAGGTATTCACACGACTTCCTAACTTCATTTATATAGTTCCTTTGTTTTTTACTTGATTTGATTGGCAGTAGTATTTTCCATATTTCGGGAATGAGTGATGAATCACTTCCTTAGCATGTGTTGGGTGTAGACTCGATGAACCAGACAGGATTCAGTAATCAACCTCTCTCTCTCTCCACCTATCTAGATTACTTTTTAGAATTTTAACCCTCTCCCACCATGCTATTGTGTGGTTGTGTGTTAGCGTATGCATTGCAATTGCTGAGCTTTTTTCTAAATTACTTATCTTCTCGGGTGGGGTCAACCATTCTTACCTTAGCCACTAAATTCTTATGTTCCGACAATCTGACTACCCCTGACCTACTAGTTTGACTGACCTATGTAGTTGACCTCGCAGTCATTGCATGGTATTTTGTAAATTATATCATTTTGTCTAATTGGTTCAACTGGGTCCTTTAACCTACACAGCTTGTCCCTGAGTGAGTTTGTAGGTTTAAATGCCACCACCAGCCTAATTCCTGCTTTATATAGAATCCTACGTAGGGAGGGTTTCAGATGTCCCCTCTTTATATGGTATAACTGTAGATGTCTTATATTCTCTCGTATTTATGTTAGTATTAATAGTTTCACAATTATTTTTATTTTTCGTTTGGCCTTTTCTGATCTTCCTAATGAATTTTAAAGGATAGTTATTTAACACCAAAGCCTCTTGTATCTGTTTTAGTTCATCATTTAGGTCTTTTCTTGTGCTACTTAGTGCTACTGCTCGGTTTGTTAAACACTTAACTAAGCCTGCCTTAACAGTCAACGGATAAGATGAAATAAGACAGATAGAAGAGGCATCATAAATAAAAATACGATTCGCAGACCTATATATCACCTGACTGTCTAAGAAACAGCCACAAACAGATGACAGAATAACCTTCAGCAGGAAAACAACCAATCAGAAGAAAAATCTATAAATATATCTCTTGATTTTCTCAATAAACGATTTGTTGTCTGAACCTTGTCTTCTGACGTTATAGTGCCTGAGTCGTTTCTTGAAATGATCATGATTACGAGTAGTAGCAATGATAAATCGTGCTCGAAGGACCTTCTGGTTACAAGGCTAGCTCGTATACCGTTAAGCCACTGAGACCCGATCCAATGGCCTGTCCATGAATTCTAACTTCTGCCAATTCACGACATAGTGCGACCGCTATCCAATGTCTTCGCTGGCGAATATTTGTTCTCATACCCGACCTGCTGCACTTTACTGGTCACAACTTCTCACTAGAACCCCAGGTAACTACCTACCTGAATAGGGCAAGTCGCCAGTGAGCATCTTATTGATATTCAAGTGTTGGTTTGTAGGGATTTGATTGGTTACAGGATTTCATCATGAGCTGACATCGGATCCCAGTGGTTTAATGGTCTACGAGCTCGCCTTGTAACCAGAAGGTCCTGGGTTCGAATCCCGGCAGGTTTGTACTGCTGGAAAGTCCCAAACCAGGCTGACGAAACAGCTGTCCAATACTCTCGAGTTTTCGAATAGTTCTGTAACTAATGTCAGCTCACGATGAAATCCTTTAACCAATCAATTAAATCCCTACAAAGCAACACTTGAAAACCACTGTGTGTGTGTGTGTGGGACACTTTCTCAAAATACAAATTTTATCCATAATGGAGTAGTTATACTCTTTGTATCATCACAGTGTGCAGCCCAAGTTTCATTTCTTATAAGATTTATCTTTCTTATTAACATTTTCTGTTGTTTGACATTTTAGTCTGCTTGTGAATTTGAATCCAACACATCCGAAAAAAATTCACACGAAATCTTATCAAAGGCAAATGATCCTCCAGTGAATCCATCTAATAATACCTACTGGTTTCGCTTACACACTAATGGTTATTCAGAAAAGGATGATTTCTACCAGGCTGAGAATTCTACTCAAAATGATTATGACAATCTAGATTCAATTCGTACTTCCCCTCCTCCTCCTCCGCCGCCGCCGCCTACATCAACCTCTGGACAACCAGTGAACTCATTTGTCACCAATGTATTTGGATCCAGATTAGAGAGTTGCATTTATTCATCATCACAAATAAATAATGTAACTGACAGTTTGAGTGAATTTATTAATTCAGAAAGAGAATGTCAACAAGAACACCAACAGCAACAACAACAACAACACCAACATCAGACAAGACGACAACAACAGTCTCTTCAGAAGCTGAAAGATGAATCGAAAATCAATCAAGCACTTAAACCAATCCATGTTAATACAGAAATATTCAATCAGTCTACTTCCAAAGTTAAAAGTGAGAAATTGTTTTTTGATTTTGTAAAACAAATTTTCTTTTATTTTTGTTTTGTTTTTTGTTATGTCAATTGCGTATTTTGCTTCCATAACTTGGAGCTGGCTGACGTTCACCCACTTCTGATGGTATATACCTGAACCACCCCGTCCCACAGTGACCCATGTATGGTGCTTCCCATTTTGGAAGCAGTTTTGCACGACCCTGACTGGCTGGTGCGTATTCGCCAGCTCGCTGCTCCCATATCATATGCTGCCTTCGCCCGAATTCTCAACAGCACCCTTCCAAGTAACAGCCTCATACCTGACAGATCTTGAACTCCACTCAACTACCCAACAGTCTCGAATCCTGTCTAAAGATCCATATGTCTCCTCCATCAAAACCTGCAAGGCATATGCTTTTTTTTATTTGTCGGTAGGCAACGACAACAAATGTAACAACCGAAGACAGGGGCCAGGCAACAGATTGCTTATTGAGAAAATGAACAGATATATTTATAGATTTTTATGCACATTATTATTAGCGTTATTGTTAGCAGAGAAAAAGCGTCTTGTGATGGTTTTTTGTGTAATCAATGAAGGTTATCCTGTCATCTCTTTGTGGCCGTTTCTTAGACAGTCCGGTGATGTATTATACCTGCTAATCGTATCTGCCCACGCTAAGTCTGCTGTGATTGTTTGTTGAGTTCCTCAAGGGTAGGCTTTCTTCTTGTGTTTTCCTCATGACCCCGATTTTGGACGTAAACTTTGACGTCATTTGTTGTCTACAGTTTTGCCTTACAGACAGCTCTCACCACACATATTTATACAGCTTATATTCTTTAACCAATCATTGAGCGTGTGATTTCGGGTTCTGAGTGGAACAAACAAACAGCACATCAGCATTTCTTCCGGTTCGATACAGAGTTCTCTTCGCCTGAACCTATAGAACTGCCTATAAGCTTTCATCTTATCCTCGTACGATCTCCATCATGCCGTCACTGTTGAACACACATACACATACACACGCCCAACTAGTCGTTACCCATCCGGGTTCCACTACTTGAGTAGCCTAGCCTAGTGAGCAATTTCACCCAACAATCTTCCTCAGTGTATGCAATCCATCTATAATTGCTTAGTCATATTTATCGTGTTCATATATAGGTTCATTTTTATTTTGCTGAGCAACCGAGATTCTGGTCGCTTATTCTTTCCAACCACCGGACAATTATGATCTTCATGATGATGGAGCCACCGTAAGAGGGTATCTGTTGATAAATGTCTGTAGTAGCCTACTGAAAATGCTCTTCTTGATGCTAGGTCCCAAGTTTTTAGCCAATATATGTATAGTCGAAGGACAGACTTAACAATGATGTTTAAAAAAATGAATCTCGTTGTTTATGTTGAGCTCAGCTGATTTCAGATTGTATAAAGGATTTCACCATGAGCTGATATCAGTTAGAGAACCACTGGAAAACCAGCTGGGAGTACTGGACAGCTGTTTCCCCCGTCCTAGTTTGGGACTCCTCATCAGTACGAACCCACCACAAGGGGTTCGAACCCAGGACCTTCTGGTTACAAGGCGAGCTAACTCGTAGACCATTGAGCCACTGGGACCCGATCCAATGGTTCTTGAATTCTAACTTCTGCCAATTCACGACATAGCGCGACCACTTCGGAATGTCTTCTTCGATGAGTTACTGCCTCATCTTTGACCTGCTGTACTCTACTGGTCACGGCTTCCCACTAGAACCCCAGGTTAACTGCCTGAATAGGGCCAGTCGCTAGTGAGCATCAGATTTATTTTCAAGTATTGATTTCAGGTTGGTTGCCGAAAAAAACGTACTACTGATTTTAGATTTATTATTATTATTGCTCCCTTGGGTTCCTAGTGGAATATAGGGCTTCAACTGCACGTATCCATTTGCTTCTGTCTTCTGCAATACTTTTCGCCTGCATCCATGTTAATCCATCTTCTTTCAACTCCTCTTCACACGATCTCCTCCATGTCACCCTTGGACGTCCCACACGGCGCTTCCCTTTCGGGTTCCACTAGAGGGCTTGACGCGTGATGTCACCCAGCGGTCTCCTCAGCGAGTGTTCGATCCATCTCCACTTTCTCCTGCATATTTGTTGGGCGATTGGTTCTTGCTTTGTTTGTTCCCATAGTTTCTTGTTGTTGGTGATTCTTTCCGGCCCGGCCATCTGATCTTCAGCATAGAGCGAAGACAGTTGTTAATAAAGGTCTGAAGCCTTTTGGAAATATACTTTGTGACCCGCCAAGTTTCTGATCCGTATAGGAGAACTGACTGACTTGGCGTTTGTATTGAAAATCCGAATTCTGTTGGTGATGCTGAGTGACGAAGATTTCCAGATTGATTTCAGGCTGATGAGTGTGTTTCTCGCCTTCCCGATTCTCGCTCGATTTGACATCATCGTCCGCTCCTCCTGTAGTTGACACAATGCTCCCTAGATAAGTGAATGAAGTGTAACCTCTTTCAAATCCCTCCCGTTGGTGGTGATTGACGTTGAATGTTGTTGCTGTTGTTGGTTGGTTATTTTCATAACCTCCGTCTTGTCTATGTTTACCTGGAGTCTTATCTTCACCGGCTGCTTCTTCGACCAGTTTGTCGGCTTTCGCTTGTAAGTCTTCGATTGTGTGTGACATCAAACATAAATCATTGGTGCGCGAAATCCAGGTCTTCTAGGTTCTTCACGTCGGTCCAGGATATTCCTGTCTTCTCGTTTCCTACAGTCTGACGCATAATCCAGTCCACCACAATTAGGAATATCATTGGTGATAATAAGCCAACACCCTTGTCTGACTCCTGTGTTTACTCCAAACGCCTCGCTGAGTCTTCCGTTGTGGATCACTTGGCAGGTGCCGTTGTCGTACAGCTGTTGAATGAGGTTGATGAATATTTGGGGTACGCCATAGTACTCGAGTAATTTCCAAATTACTTCACGATCGACGCTGTCGAAGGCCTTCTCAAAGTCTATAAAGTTGAGGTAGAGGTTTGATTGCCATTCCATGCTTTGTTCTGTGATGATGATGCGTAGAGTTGGTTGGAGGCAATCGGTCATAGGAAGCCTTCGGCCAAGATCTAGGTTTCTTGCTAGTTGGCACTCACTCACCATCAGTCAGTCAGTCAGTCAGTCAGCGAGGCGTGTATTTGTAACCTTATTGAAGGAACAAACTACTCATGTCCGCTCTGTGATTTGAACCTGAATTCGAACTAGCACGAAACCTAGGTCTAAGCAAGGCTTCCTGGGGCCGATTACCTCCAACCATCGAATACTATCAAATCACTGTGTGCACCGTGATGACTAGCTACCAGGAATGCTGGCCACATTGCAAACTTGACTGACTGACTGATAGAATTCAGTCTGCACCAAAGAAACGACTAACTAGACACATTACACTAGTTCCTGACTAGTGTCCAATCAGAATACTACTGGTTTACTACGACTTGAGAAGTAAAAAGTGGAAGAAGAAATAGGATAAATTACTGAGACTCGCTAACAAAATAATTACGGGCAAAGTTAAACTTTCAATACCACTAACAACCACCAATCGATCAGCAAACCACCTTGAACGGACCAATCACATTAAAGAGGCATATGTGATGAATGGAAATGTATACTTATAGAAAAAAAAGCATAAAATAGATAATAAAAATGTTACATGGAATATCTTTCTCGAACATGTGAGAGAAACATCTCCCAGTTTAGCATGGGACTGTCAATGGAGAAGGTACACCACATCCTGTACATATATTCATCTAAATGACCACAAATGAGATCCCTTTACAGCCCTTATCCTGTTTTTCAAGCGGCCCCAAAACCCTTCAATGGAATTCGTATGAGTCCTCGTAACGGGATTCACGAAATCACTTAAATGATTCACTCTATGATGAATATACCCCAGAGATGACAGCGAAATATAACCTTTCCACTCGTCCGTGTGTATAATTGACCTCCATTTAACAAGTCTCGTTATAATAGGTATTAAAGTGGTTGCTTTTCTGTTAGCTATCCGTTCGACGAATCCCTTTCGGAGGTAGGTGTCGTATAAACCTAATACCCAAATTTTGTTAGCTCGCTGGCGACCATGGTTGTATTGGTTTTTCACCAGCACAGTTTCATCGACATGCACGATAACATCTTCTCCACCCAGCAAACAAGTGGTTTTCTCTATTTTTTCCACGAAGCAGTGCCTCTGCAATGCTGGTACCACTGGACTGTTGAGACGAGGCTATTCTCCATCTCGGCTGCTGCTGCTGCTCTCACCGGCTGTTTCAACACCCACTAGTTGCAGATATGTAAAATCTTGGTTAGGGAGAGATGAGACCTAGCGAAAAAAGTTCCTACGAAATATTAAAACTGTCAGCTTACCCTCTCTAATACTAGCATGCTTCAAACATATAGCACAACGACGAGCAAATCCATCAGTTGATCCGCTTTAGCTTTTCAAAGTCATGATACCACCACACGAATACGTTCGCTCCTTCCGGAGCAACCCTAAATCCAGGCAATAATGGAAAACACTATCCTCCTCGAATTGCAACAGTAACCTTGTAAGGGCAAGCATTTGAAATGAATCGAGCGCTATACAACATTGAACGACATTCGTGACCTCATTGGATAATTCGACATCGTTCGTGAATCTCATTGGATAATTCGCTGATTGGTAGTTAGTGGTGTCGAAAGTTTAACTTCGCCACATGGATGGCCCTCAACTGTTGTCATTCCATATAGATCAGAAACGTCAGACAATACATCATCAGAAGAATACCCAATAAACACGACATCAGAGTTCTCTTCAAAACACCAGACACGCACACACACACACACACACTACAAAGCTACCTTGTCCATGTAAAAGACTAAATTTCTAAGGATTCTCTATCCAATTGTATCTACAAAATAAAATGCTTGGAATGTGATTGGATAATATACATTGGACAAACATCACCAACAGAGAAATCAAGGTAATTAGAAGAAATGAACACCGTAGAGCATCTG